GGCGCTTTTAGTGACATTTTGCATACAAATCCCCATCTAGTAGGGCGCAGTCACCCAGTTTCGGTGGAAGTGCGCGAGTTCGATTGGGATTCAAGTAGGAAGGGAGCGTCTCAGCTTCCTCGGACCACGACCATTCGACTCAGCACCCCGAAGACTACAACTGGTGAAATTTTAATTTTTGCCTTAACTTCCCCTTTAAACTTTAGTCATACTCTGATCATAGTCATCGAACTACGTACTACTACTAGTACTAGTATCTATCGAATGGCTTTTTCCTCTCTTTTTTGTTGTTGTCGTTGACTGTGTTCTTATTAGGGCTGAAACGATCATCCATTTAGCCCAATCGATTACTCTCTATCATAACGATCGATTATTCGAGTATAATCTTTAAGAGGCCGCACCTGGAATATGTACGTGGAATGGCCAAAAGTGGAAATATGTACAACATTTTGCACATTTTGCACAAAATAAGTGTGATGTACATGTATGTAGACCAGACGCGACCTTGACCTTCGAGCTTCATGCTCCAGCTTCAATGTACTACACTAGGCCCACTGTACTCGATGTTCGAACTCACGCTGCATGCACTGCGCGTTCTACGTCCTGAGCGGCTGCGATGCAGCGCGTGCAGTGTGTAGTACTGTGTACATATACTCTGCTCTGCATGCACTGCGCGTACATGTATAAGAAATTTAAAATGTTAAAAACGCAAAATAATCATAATCGGTAATCACAACGATTGCTCGATCGTTAGAATAATCAAACGAGTACTCGATTTGTTGTGAAACGACAAGTTCTCGAGAGTGAAAGGCCTTCTCGCTTGTGACAGTATGTTCGTTTCAATGCAGCTGTATCCCGACTCCGCCGTACCGCTGATGTTTACGACGTAGTATACGCTACATGCGCTATGTGCGGTTTGCTGAGTGCGCTGTAGTTGTATGTTGTATGTGTATGCTTTTCTCATATACGCTGTCATTTTCACGCTATAACTACCTGGTGGTTTTGGTGTTAGTCATTCAGTTCATTCAGTTGTTCATTCAGTCATTGTTCATTGTTATTAGTCGATGGAAGTGAAATATACTGTTGAGAATAAATAGTTGTCCTCGTGCCGTGTGGGGTCGTTCGTTCCTGATACTTTAGAGAACCAGAGGGTTCACAACATTTGGCGACCACGCCAGGATACGAAGCGAGCATGGCACAGGAACTATGGATCATTGAAGCCAGCTTTATCGCCAACGGAATTCGGTATGGATTTGAAGGCGATAGGTTGAGAGAATACGTGGAGAAGAGGCTCCGACAGAGCGAGGAGTTTGAAGAGCGCAGTGCTAGACGGCAAGAGTGTGCGCTCCGCGCAGAGTTTAACGAAAAGCTCAAGAAGATGGCCGAGCGCATCGCCGTCAGTACATATAACGAGGAAGCAAAGCGAGATTTGCTTGCCTCGCCCGGAAGGACGCCGGACAAGGCGTGTAAGACTTTGCTTACAGACAAGCAGCGGTCAGAAGAGTACTTGAAGCCAGTGGGAGGATCAGATCCAAGGCCCACTGCGTCGGTACAGAGCATGGCGACATCGGTCGGAGACGCTCAGAAGCAGCTGGAGTCTCGGCCGAACGACGTAGAGGCGCAAGACGTAGAGGCGCAAGACGTAGAGGCGCAAGACGTAGAGGCGCAAGACGTAGAGGCGCAAGACGTAGAGGCGCAAGACGTAGAGGCGCAAGAGTTGGAGGCGGAAGAGTTGGAGGCGGAAGAGTTAGAGGCGCAAGAGTTAGAGGCGCAAGACTTAGAAACGCAAGGCGTAGAAGCCGAGAAAATGAGAAGGGCGATACTACTGGTTAAAGGGGAAGTATACCCTAAAATCAAATTTTCACCAGTTGTAGTCTTCGGGGTGCTGAGTCGAATGGTCTTGGTCCGAGGAAGCTGAGACGCTCCCTTCCTTCTTTATTTCCAATCGAACACGCGCACTTCCACCGAAACTGGGTGACTGCGCCCTACTAGATGGGGATTTGTATGCAAAAAGTCACTAAAAACGCCGTTTCGTTCTTATAAAAGCACGGGTGACCACGATCGGTCCATATGTTGTAGTCTTTTGGACGCTAAATCGAATGGTCTTGGTCCGAGGAGGCTGCGATATAGCGTTCAGCCCAAATTCCCAATCGAACGCGGTAAAATACGGTCCCGTACGAGATCCCGTACCGATGCGTACAAAAGTCACTGGCCTGGTCACCGTGCCAGTGCATGCAGTGCAGTGCACTGACTGTGCCGGCCGGCTACAGTCTATGATCTAGTCTGTGACACGATCGAGGGCATGCCGGCATCTCGCTCTCATCCAGGGTTCAAGAGTTCATAACTGAAACTCACCGAATGAGCTTTCGGTCTATGTTATGTATGTAGCCGGCTAGCCAGACATGTCGGCAAGGGTGCATGACGGGAAGAGTTCAAAGTGTGCTGCAGTGCTTACACATGGATTACAATGACTGTCATGTTCTTTGAATCTGGGTGTGAAATGCCTTCTTTTTCCTGGTTCATGGCGACACTAGCCGCTCAGCACTGCGTGTTTTATTTTTCCAGCCACTGCGTTTGCTATTCCGTATTCGACGCTCTTGACTTTGCATGAACTCAGCAATGGCTGGCAAAGAGACCCCGACCAGTTTGCGTACAGAAGCCATAGATGTATTAGCATATGCAAGGGAGCCAGAGTTTACCACTGAAGAGCTCCAGGCGGGTGTTTCGCAGTGGCCACTCGTCAAGATGGCGGCAAATCCGAGAGTACAAAAATTTCGACTCTGCCTATGTGCGTGGCGGATGCGAATCTCGCACGTGCATGCAAAATCTTGCCTTCTGCCAGAGCTGGGTAGAGCAAGTGTACGTGTGTAGCCAGTGTAGGAACGAACGACGACCTTTTCCGAGAGAGAATGTGGCTCTTTTCATCCCAACATTTTACTCGCCACGCTCTCCCTCCCAGCTTATTGATACGAGTATGTGCTACCGAGTAGAAGTCTCCATCTTCAGAGTAGGCCAGGCAGAATCGCAAGGTTGAAATACTTGCTCACTTGGTTTTTTTGGTCCTTTGAGGTGTTGATGTGATCGTTGTGTACAACTCGAAGTGACAAACTTGAGACCCCCGCGCCACAAAAAACTGAGGCGCGCCACAAAGTTTCGTTTGGCTATTCAATGAAAGGACGTATGGAAGCAGGGATAAAAACTATCGTGGCTGCCGGCAAAACTCCTAGTAATGTAATAAACGGGGGTGTGACTTTGGTAATTCCAAGGAGAATGTACGCACGGCCATTCCACAACGAAGACGAACTACGAGCTCAAAAACACTCCGATTTTCAAACAAACGACGCAGGAACGAAGACATGGCCACAGTGTTCCCGTGTGGCCTTCAAAACACCTAATTTTACTTCGATAGCGGCTGGTTCAGGGCAAATTCAGGCCCAATTCGACAGCGTCGTACCGCTGAGATTCGCCCAAAACACGAGGAAATGTACGGTAGATCCAAATGCGTACGCATTTTGCGTACGGGGACGACTGGCCAGAGTTCATGCACTGCAAACACCCGTGTGCAGTGCACTGACTGTGCCGGCCGGCTACAGTCTATGATCTAGTCTGTGACACGATCGAGGGCATGCCGGCATCTCGCTCTCATCCAGGGTTCAAGAGTTCATAACTGAAACTCACCGAATGAGCTTTCGGTCTATGTTATGTATGTAGCCGGCTAGCCAGACATGTCGGCAAGGGTGCATGACGGGAAGAGTTCAAAGTGTGCTGCAGTGCTTACACATGGATTACAATGACTGTCATGTTCTTTGAATCTGGGTGTGAAATGCCTTCTTTTTCCTGGTTCATGGCGACACTAGCCGCTCAGCACTGCGTGTTTTATTTTTCCAGCCACTGCGTTTGCTATTCCGTATTCGACGCTCTTGACTTTGCATGAACTCAGCAATGGCTGGCAAAGAGACCCCGACCAGTTTGCGTACAGAAGCCATAGATGTATTAGCATATGCAAGGGAGCCAGAGTTTACCACTGAAGAGCTCCAGAGTTTCCGTGACGGTGGCGAGGAGCACGTTGAAAATGAGGAGGAAGCTGCTGCTGCTGCGAGCGTCGAAGAAGCCTGGCCTCCCCACACCAGAGTCGGCAACGTTTCCTGGTGTGAATGTACATGCTGCGTGCAGATGGAGTGTAGACTGGACTGCATATGCTGCCGTGAAGTGGGTGCCGTGTTGCAGTTCCTCTCAGGCACCGCACAACGGTGCGTGTCTGAGACGGAAGAGTTCCAGACAGGATGCCTAAATAAACACGTTTTGACCATCGCCTTGCGCGGATACCTGGACATGACCAAGCAGCTGTGCAACCAGCCGCCGACAAATTTTGACAATAGGTGAGTGAGTTCAACTAACTAATTACTTCAACTTTTATCTTGCCTTAGCTGTGGGGACAGGTGTGTAGATCAAACTATAAAAAAGGTCTTGGGAGGACTGGGGCGAACTCGGTGCCTGTTCACAACTCACAAGTTCTCAGTAACAGTCTACCGTGAGTGGCACTAACAGCGCGGCCGGATAAACCTGTCCCCAACAGGTGTCTATTTTCTTAGATGGGACTGGACTCAGTGAAAGTGTGCTGTGCTGTTCAGTCCACTTTCATGAAGTCATGATGGATTGAATATTGTGTACTTCCTTGCCCAGATCATTCAGATATGCTGCCTACCGACAGGTAACGTGGATGATCCATGGGAAAATGGGTCGTGGTGTAAGATGTCGTATTCCAGCATGCCTTGTGGGAGCAATACGCCAGTGCTTTCCAAACCCTCCGGGTAAGCAGTGATTTCTTATGGAGTGAATATAAATACGAGTGAAATGTGGCAACTCCATTGCTTGGAAGTCTTATGAACTTGGAGATGTCAACTTATAAAGATAAATGAATGAACGCTTCGGGTGCGGATCTGCCTGCCTGCGTGCATGTGTGTGTGTGCGTGTGCGTGTGTGTGATGACAATTGTCTGTGAAGGTGTACCGTACCATGGGTTTGAAGAAGCCAGGGATGAGGCGGATACTCAGTGGCCCGAAGATTGACATCATAACTTTTAGAGGTAAGCAATGACTTGCCTTCTCTAATACTTCAATGTAAAGAATAAGCTATTTAGGATTCCTGAACGATAGGCATTGAGGACTGGCAACAAAATCAGATACATGTGCACAGGCATAATCTCCGAACATGCAAATTGGACAACACACCATTTGTTCTTGTTGGTCATTACTCCTTGCAAAACACTTCCACCACAACTAAAACGAAAAGAAGGGAAAAAGGCCAGCAAAGGCACAGCATGCTCGCACCATCACATATACGTACACGTGACACAAAAGGTATCATAGTGCGAGCATGACTCATACTCATAGTCACAGCACATACAGCCCGGCGCAGTTGTACAAGCGAATGATCGCGGGCACAAACGGCTTTAAAAAACAAATAATTTATCATGAGAGCAGCTCAAACAACTACAGGTTTGAAGCGGAAATAAAAATAGAGCTGTGTTGCCGTGTGTTCATATTTGGGTGGGAACATCGCATTGAACAACGCACTGCTGTTGTCCTTCATCTTCGCTGTCCTGGTCTTCCTCCTGCACATACCCTGCATCATCCTCTAACGTTACTTCATACTCTTGTTCCTCTTCCTCCTCTGGTGCAACTGATGGTGATGCTTCTGCTGTTGCTGCCATTGCCAATCTCGTTTGCAGATTGGCGACAACTGCTGCCTTGACTGGAGCCCCGCGTCGCGACACGTTGACAGGCTTACACTTCTGGATGGGTGGCACTGTCAGCCTCTTCGTGGCCACATCACTGACCTGCTGCATCATGCTGTGCATGCATCCGTATTTCTTTTCACTGTAGATTTTTTTGGCCACGAAATCACCCTTCACTCGAGAAAACTGGACCTTGTACTGTGGCTGACCTTTTGATGTTGCCTGTTCTCTGCCAGCATTGAAGTTATGGTCAAGAGCAGCAAGCTGGGTGCGGGCCTCCATTCCCTCTCTACTGAATTGAATTCGCTTCGGCATGTACTTCGTCATCATGCTATGGTACACCTGCATGCACATGACGAACAAGAAAGTTATTCAGGTCACTGATACCTGGTTCTGACTGATATGCTCCTTATGTCAATTATTGACAGAACTTACGTATGTTATGGGAACACAGTGCAATGCTGAGTGAGTCAATATTTTAGTACCACTGCCAATATGAGCACGGCGTTCCGATGGTCGGTCTATGTTATGGCTGGTGTAAGGATAACAGACATTCTCCCATTGGACTGTTGGATATTTGTAAGTAAAAGTCATATATCCAGGATCCATTTCCTCCTTACCTCTAAGTTTCCAGTGTGCTGGAAATCTGACAAATGCATCAAATCTGCCAGCAGTCTCTTGTCTTGAACAACTGATTCCAGAACCTTGTAGGCTGGAGACCCTAAAGAAGTGAGAAAGATAAAAGAGTCAGAATCTATACTGCCGGTCTACTGTTAATTTTGTGTGAGTGGGTAAAAGTGTATACGTAAATGTTAGATGCTCAGACATTGTATTGCGCATGCTTGACTTATTGATAGGGGTGTCATCGAGTAGTAGGGTACCCGTGCTACCCGTAATTAGAGCGGATATTTTAGGGTAGCAGTTTACTGAGTACTCCTGAGAACCCGATCGGGTAGTTGCGGTACGGTGTTTTCACAATGGTGCATGTAAAAAGCATGGCTACTTGCTTACTGTACGCTTTCTATGTAGCGCAAGTGCACACGCACTGTACAAACCATGTCCGCAAAAATACCCGATAGGGTGCCCGTGCTACCGGATAGAAATACGATTTATTCCCGTAGCTATGCAGAAGACGTTACTTCAGTAACGTCTGGCGCTAGCCAGGGTCCACACAGCTTTAATTTGGTATTTGTGTGTTTGTTTGTTTGTGTCACGCCTGGCGCTATCCCGTATCTGACGGCAAAAAATCATAGGGATGTTATAAATTTTTCAATTCTATTTTTTTCAGGCATATCCTTGGATTCGAACCCGCACTATCGCCCTACATGCATTCGCCCATACACTTCGCATTCATACCCATTCTTCCAAGTTGCTTCACGTTATGATCTTGCGTTTGAAGGCCCTATTTGAATATTGCGGCCAGCTGTATGTGGCCAGCTGTGTTTGTTGGTACGGTACGGGAGACGGTGTCGTATTACCCTCGATCGTACCTGTCCCGTACCTATCCCTACCGTACCGTACCATCAAAGACGGCTGGCCACAATGCATATTCAAATAGGGCTTTCAAATGCAAGATCATAATGTGAAGCAACTTTGAAGAATTAGTATATATGCGAAGTGTATCGGGGGATGCATGCAGGGCGCGATAGTGCGGGTTCGAATCCCAGGTTATGTCTAAAAAAAAAGGAATTTTTTAAAGAATTTTATAACATCCCTATGCTTTTTTTCGTCTAGGTCATCAAGGCAAAAAAGCATAGCGTAGGGCCCTGAGCTTCCAAGCTCTCTCGTTTTTACCTGATCTCATTACCCGGCCAAACCCCTACCCGTTGCAGCCCTACTTATTGAAATTCAGTGCTGCCAACTTTCCGTATTTTCCGTATTTGTAAGGAAAATCACTCCTTCGTCCGCAGTGCGGAATTGAAAAATGGTATGGAAAATTGAAGAGGATCGATCAGCCACCGATACTTATGTAGAAGCATGGCAAGCGGAAGCTGAGCGATGAATATCCCTGTGCCAAAGTGAGCGCATACCATGCTTCGACTACATGTAGCACAAAATATCATGTCATCACGGGTACAAGTCACACATGTTTTGCACTAGCAAAATCAGCCACCGACAAGCATGTGGGTGTCAAAAAAGCACAATACAAGCAATGCATATGACAGTACTCTGGTAGTACGAAAGGAGACACTGCAACATATGGAAAATCAGTCCGCAAAGAAAGACCCAGTTGGTTGGCAGCACTGGAATTTGATATTGATAGCGACACAACTTTCACGCTTTACTTACCGGGTGTCAGCCACTTTTTCTGTCGCTGCTCATCAGTGGAAAGCGGAGGATGTGCACACTGCGTGAAGAGTGTACCCTCAGTCCAGCTATGTCGGTTGACGATGTGGTAGAGGACTGAGTTCCACTTTTCACGCAGCAGCACAGCATTGCCTCCGCACGACCGGGCGCAGTACCACAAGTGGTTATTGATGGCCGGTAACCACTCGAGCAAGGCCTGCTGGTCTTTCCTCCTGCATCCTGCCCTGATCTTGGAGGCGACACTCTTGGCATAGTGCCATACATCAAACTGATGCTTGATGGAGTGGCGTCCTCGCATCTCCTTCTTTATGCTGGGGCTCCGGTCAGTGACAACAGTGGCAATCTGGAGAAGGGGATGAAGCACGCAAATGTACACATACAAGGAGAGAAATTTGATCCCAGAGGGTGGTGGCGTTCCCACGGCGGATGCGGAAAACTCGGCTTCCAGCCGAGTCTCACGCAAACCGTGAAATTTAAGGAGAGAAATGTAGGATTTGTGGGTGTTTTCCTCAGGGTCATAAATCATCAAAACAAGCAGAACTTCAAAATTAGATTGCAAGTTGCACATTGTTTTAAAATAAGGAAAATATATCCAATCTGTACACACCTTCAACCCTTGCTCCAAACAACGGTCAAGTGTGACAACGAATCCCATCTTCTCCATTGCCACTGAGCTGGTTGTGTCCGTGGACATCGCCAGATGGTAATCAACAATTAGGTCGGATGCAACATCCATGAAAGTGTATGTCCCGAATCGTGCGGAATAGCCAGGGCTGTCACACCTGCCATCTCCAGCTAGAGTGAGTTGTCTGCCTACAGTGCAGCATAACAAAGATAACATATGCAGAAATTTCCTCCTGCCCTTCAACAAAGTGTGGGTACTCCCAAGTGCCAAAATTCTGGATGTGAAAGCAAACAGCTAAACATACTGATGGGTTTTGCTTTTGCAAGTATGCATGGTGTAGTGTACATGTATGTGCTGATGATACACTCATGGACATTTCTTACGTCATCATTATCATCAAACTATTGACGTCACACCATGCGCAGATAATTTTAGTATGTCTGCCTTTTTGTATTGACACACGGGTCTCCTTGTTCTTGTTACGTTGACATAATTTACTTGCAATTGTAGTTGGTCTTCTTCTAGTCTCCATGTAATCGATCATAGAATAAACCGAACCCCGTCTCTAGCTGAGACACTACACATGGCCCATGGAATATTCACTGGTCAAGGCAGTGAGCAGATTCTCCTGTACTGTTCTCCCTCAGCATCACAGACAATCCACCAATGCTGCACTATATACTACATAGCATATACAATCAGCAAAGACCCCTTACCTAACAAAAGTGAATGAACACGCGTACGCTCTGCAAGCCATGCCGCTTGGATAACTGGAAATACAAACTTCTGTTGTATTGAAAAGAAGGTTCGTCTTGACATGAATTGCAAGTGGAAAAATTCAGCAAACTTGCTGAATTTACTGTAGGTGCCGCCGCACAGAAGGATGGCTGCTACGAGCAGAATAGAACCTGCAGTGCAAAGTGCCAACATTCATGAGTACACACAGCTATCACTGTCTTGATCACGATGTGCCGGAGACTTAAACGTCATGTATAATGTTTGCTGGTCTCGATAAGATTTCAGCATGCAGCCCTCAAATCCCAAACATCACTGACACTCCCATGAACCATGGTATTTAAAATTAACAAAACCCTCCTGAATACAGCCCCTCCCAACTAAATGCAGTGCCAAAAACCTCGCCAAGTTTCAGTAATAGGAGAAAAAGGTGATTTAAAGAAATGGAAGCCAGAAAATATTGGAAAAACATGTACTCACACAGTGACTGCTGCTGAGCCTTCCCCGTGGTGGTGTGGGACCGCCAAATGACGTCACAGTCCTGCTCACATATCATCTTCACCACTAGCATAGGACCAACTAAGGTTTTGGTTCGACAGATAACTTTCCCTCCGCACTTGGGGCAGTACTTCATTAGCATAAAGAGGGATGACTCACAGACAAAGTACATGTCTTCAGGTGATGTGTCACTGGCTGGAGGCTGTTCAAGTACTGAGTATACATGTTGTTCTTCTGAAGATACACGGAACACCTTACACAGATCATCCTCAAAGCAAGTGGTCAGATCATGCAAGGGGGCATCGTAAAATTGTATTTATTTGTACTATTTCAAAGTAGACAATCAGCAGAGATGGGCACATACATATGTAGCCTTTGGAAATAACTCCAATACTCCAATACTCAGATAATCGGACTCAGACTCTGCGTTTTGCTGCCACATTTCCCCCATAATCTAAACCTAACAGGAAATTACGTAAACGCATAGCTGTTACCTCCATGTCCTCTTCGCACACCATCTTTGCAGCATCATCATAATCAGCCAACTCTGGAGCCGGACCATGAGTCGCTGTCACTGCAGTAGCATGCACTTGTTGTGTTGAGCTTGGCTCTGCATGTGCAGGACTCGCGGCAAATGTCTGCGTGGCAACAAAAACCATTATGCACCTGTTAGGCATTTTTCACTTCCCTTAGGCCACCCTTTGTTAATTCATTGTTTAACGTCCTTTTTTTCGCGAAAAGGTACGCGGGAGGGCAGAAAAAAAACAAAAGCCCATTCCAAAAACTGGAAACCCCAATCAAACATTTTGACCAGTAAAGCATGTGACTATGGAGGATGCGAAACATCAACAGACCATCGCCTGGTGGTGGCGAGGTTCCTCCTCAATCGGATGTATGGAATATTCGGGCATCATAGGTCAGACGAGCAAACCTCCCTGAAGCCAGTTCGATACAACACAAGTGATCTGCCGACAAGCCCACGGATCCGGGAGAAATACGTTGATACAATCGTCGCAGAGTTGGCAGATGGTGGTTCTGCTGTGGATACTGAGGACGGCGGACCGGCATTGCTGTGGCAGAAAACAGCATCGGCGATAAAGAATGCTGCAGAGAAATCGCTAGGTCTAGAGGCCCGGACAAAGCGTGGTGTGAAGGACAGCCCTGAACTGCGCCGACTGTCTCAGGCTCAAAAAGAACTAAAATTACGTATCGAAAATATCACCAACACCGGTACTCGGGCAGGCCTGAAGAAGGAACGCAACCGCATTCTTCACAGCATCAGAAGAACAGCGCTGAAGGAAGCAGAATTACGGCTGGACGAAAAGGCAAAGGAGGTGGAGAAGTTGCGGGACGGTGCTCGAATGTTCAAAGCTGTTCAGTTAATGCGGAGACGTGGAGCTGTGAAGCCTACAGTTGCTGACAACACCGGAAAAATCATAGTAAACGAGGAGGAAGCAGCTGAGGCAATTGGAAGCCATTTCTCAAGTCAGTTCAGCTCACCAAGCGCCACAGACATCTCACCGTTCCAGGGACAGCCACGTCCTCTGCAAACTCCCATTACATCTTCAGAGATTGCAGGCTGTCTCGGGAAACTGAACAATGGCCGTGCCGCAGGAGACGACAGTATCCCCACAGAACTGATGAAGTATGCAAGTGATGCTTTGGCTCCTGTGTTGACCAGCATTTTCAACGGCATGTTTGAGCAACACGAGGTGGTTGATATAGGCAGTGGCAGTCTGATCCCACTTCAGAAACCCAACAAGCCGCTGGGACCACCATCAAATTTACGTCCGATAGTTCTTCTCAACACGCTGCGGAAGACCCTGTCACTCCTCACTTTAGCTCGAGTCAGACCCAAGGTTGACCAGTACCTAGCCCAGACGCACAGCGGCTTCCGCCCTGGCCGATCCACCGCGGATGTGGTATGGGCGCATCGATGGCTTGTGGCAAAGACCCAGCGCTACCACAGCACCGTTCACCTGTTGGGCATTGATCTGTCGAAGGCTTTTGACACGATCAAGCGAGACACCTTGCTGACTGTTCTGGAGGCGTTTCTGAGTGACGATGACGTTCGCTTGATCAGGGTCTTGATCTCTAACACCAGACTTCGTGTTCAGCTTGGGAGGTGCCAGTCGGAATCATTTGCTACAACGAAGGGGACGCCACAGGGGGATTGCCTTTCCCCCGTTCTCTTCACGGTTTACCTGGAGGCTGCGCTCCGACAACTAAGGCAAGAGGTGCCAGCAAGACCTCTCAGCGACAACGGTCTGCCGCTCGAACTTGTATATGCGGATGATGCAGACTTTGTCAGCACCTCAAAGTCCTGGCTGGCGGACGTGGAGGCGACTGCCAGCACGGTGCTACCACAGTGGTCCCTGATCATGAACCGGGACAAAACTGAGTATACGGACATCTTCAGAAGTGCGGACAGGATCGATGAAGAGTGGAGGACAACGCGCAAGCTGGGTTCGCTGCTGGGCGACGAAGAGGATATTATGCGACGAAAACAGCTGGCGACTGCAGCATTTCAGTCCCTATGGAGCCTCTGGAAGAGGCATCAGCACATCAGCGAGAAGTTGCGTCTGCGGCTGTACAGCACTTTTATTGTTCCAGTACTGACGTACAACTCGGGTACGTGGGGGGTCAGTGTGACCGTTCTGTCCCGCCTGGATTCCTTCCACCGCCGTCAGCTAAGGTCACTCATCGGTGTGAAATGGCCACAAATAATACCGAATGATGCTCTCTATGCCAGATGCGAAGCTGAACCCTTGAGTGTCATGGTCAAGAGATCACGCTGGAGGCTGTTTGGCCACATCCTGCGGATGGCAGATGAATCTCCAGCTGTTATGGCTATGTTCGCGTACTTCGCCAATCAGCAACAGAAATGCTGGAGGGGTAGACCGCGGACGACCCTGCCGCAGGCATTGGTGGGAGATCTGCGCCAAGCCAATGCCGGATTGCTCGGGAACTTAGACGCTCTGCAGAGCCTGCGAGCCATTGCCCATGACCGACCCGCATGGCGAGATCTATGCATGAAGATCTGTGCATCGTGATATTCCGACAGGTCCTGAAACAGTCAAACTCAGGAAATAGCACTATTATTATCACTCAGGCTGCAATATTCAATGACATAATTAAAGACATATTCATAAATGACATATCTTCAATACCCATGAGCTACATTGTATATGATAATTATATCATTGTATCATCGTTCTAGCTCAATTTCTTTCCCCTGTCATAGTCCTGTTTATCATGTTCAGCATAAGCGAAGTTGTGGATCATGCTTGCATGGTTGACTCCAACGCGTACATGCAAGTAATAATAAATAATAATAATAAAGCATGTGATATATACAATATTTCTGGGTCTAACGGCACTTGCAGGCATAGAACAACACTCTTTGATGGTACATTGGAGCACATGCCTGATGAATCCAACAAAACAGGTACATAGCATGGAGTTAGCATGTCATGAATTCATTACATCTGGATTTTTACTAGGACACACACCGTACGATATTTAAAAGCCAACAAAAAAAAGAAAAAGAACACAAGACAAAGGCATGCCCGGGAGGCAAGATTATAAGTTTAAGGTTATGATCGGCACACTGTGAAACTACACAATCATGTATTTACAACTTCGCATATTATTGGTACTACTACTTTCTTGTTTTTTTTTCCGGTCGGAGGCAAAAAGGTACGCGGGCGCGGACGTTAAACAACGAAAAAAGAAAGGGTGGCCTTACAGATAATTGGACTGATTGAGTACTACAGATACTTAGTATGACTGTAATGGTATGATCGCTTACCTTGCCACTGTCCACTGCATATGCCGTCTTGGTAATGCTATCATGGCCATCCAACTCAGAAGTTGGGTATTCCGTGGCTGTGGCAGTTGCAGAGGCTACAGGAGGCTGAACTTGATGTTGCGGAATTGACGGTCCCGTGTCTGCTTGAGGTGATATCTGCAAAGACACGGTAAAGGCAACTGTTGTAATTTTTGCACTTATGTAATAATAATAATAATAATAATACCACAGCACGCGTACAAAGGCCAAAGAACAATGCATGAGAATACACTGAAATTAAGCCAAGTCCGCTTCTGTCTCCAGTCAACAAAAACTCATCCATAAACAATGTCTGATCAGAGTCCATTTCGACTTGTCTGCAGCAAATGCTCGTGCTCCTTCTAGGTCGCTGGCATTCTTCAAAGGGATGTCGTGCCCTGCCAGGTCCTTCATGATGGTGGTAGGGAGAGTAGCCGCGGGACGGCCCCTTCGTCCACGTGACCCCGCTTGAAAATAGCAGGACATCGCAAGGCAAGGGGGTGACTGCTCACTCATCCTCAGCACATGGCCAGTGAGGCTACGTCGTCGCTTGGCAACAAGCTCCGACAGTGGCTGCGAGCCACATCTGGAATACAGATCATCATTCGTAATTCTGTCTTGCACTTATGTACTAAGGCCAAACAATATGCATCAGTCCTAATTAGCCTTTTCGAGCAATTCGCATACAGCATATCTATGAGTTTAGTTTGGCGAAGCTTAGCGTCCTGGCTACTCTGAAAGCACATGTCTGCATACAGGTAGTGGAGTTTTGGTGAAAAGTACACGTTATTCAGAGATTTTTGACCGCATGACTTTATTCAAGTAACAGTGGATCAGGGAGTGTATGTGCCGAACTGAAACACTGTATAACAGTCACAGTGCTTCACTTCTCCTTCACTAAAATAACCTAGAGCGGAAACACATTCCGCATCAGGTGCCGGTATAAAAGCCCGTACCTTATTTGGTTCCCTTTTTTGTTGGTAAGTAGACTTCCGTCGCTTCGGCGGAGGCGGATGGTGTGGCCAAAGTCTCAGGGACGGGACAGCGGTTGGCTTCAGATGTAGCGTTGGCGGAGTATTAGCCGAGGGCACGTCCGCAATAAAGTCGTCTGGATGTACAAAATGAGCAGAGCAGACCGCGCAGGTATCGGGCAGAGTAACCCTCCTCAGTGCTCTCACCCAAGCGGCGCGTCGTTTTGCCTCTGCGGGGAGTCTGTGAAGGGAGATGCCTCCACCGCTACGATTTCCGCAGCCCACAACGGCACAGGCAGGCATAGCCGGTGGTGGAATAAAACAAAAACGAACACAAGGTACAGAGCTGCTAGCGTCACCATGTACCAAGAAAGCGAAAGGACTTCAGACTTGATTA